CGAATATGAACCCCAACATATCTGATCATGCCATGCTTGTGTTACACGACAATATTGAAGTCCAGCAGCCTAGCAAAGGATTTAGATTCATAAACTACTGCGCAGACTTAGATAATTTCCAGGAAGTTGTCAAGAGCAGTTGGGACATTCCGTTAGAAGGAATACCATTGTTTGTTGTATGGAAGAAATTGCAAAGACTACAACCCCACATCAGGAAATTGAGCAAACCGTTGGCTGAGCTTCACAAGAAAATTGCACGAGCTCGAGAAGATCTGAACAAGGCGCAGGATAATTTAATGACAGATAAATTGGATGGAGACAAGATTAATATGGTTAAAAGATGTTCTGAAAATCTTATTATTTTGCAGGAATTGGATGATAGTATGGTGAGGCAACGAGCAAAAATTGATTGGCTGCGACTTAGTGACGGCAACAACAAATATTTTTATGCCTCTATAAAGATGCGACAACAGCTCAAAAATATGACAAAACTTCAAAGAGTAGATGGAACCACTGTTACAGATCAGCAAGGAATGGAAAATGAAGTTATATCATTCTACAGGAATCTGATGGGTACAAAACTGAACGAACTTGAAGGCATTGATACAAAAGCAATGAGGAAAGGTAGGCAATTAGAAGCTGCGCAAAGGGATATGCTGACGAGTCATATAACCGAAGACGAAATCACCATAGCTCTAAAAGGCATTGGTAATGATAAGGTACTTGGAATTGATGTTTTTGGAGCCTATTTTTACAAGAAGATTAAACTTGAGGTCATAGCAGCTGTACATGATTTTTTCAAGCATAACCGTATGTACAAAGCTGCTAACTGCTCTGTTGTCACTCTAATTCCTAAGCACAAGGGTGCGAAAGAGATATAAGACTATCGACCTATTGCGTGCTGTAGTACCCTGTACAAAATCATATCCAAGATTTTGGCCAACCAACTCAGCAAAGTACTAGGTACAATAATAGGTACGAATCAAGCAACGTTTGTCAAAGGGCAAATAATTCATAGCCATATTCTAATCACGTATGAATTGATTAAGAGATACGAAAGGAAGAATATTTCTCCCCGGTGTTTAATGCAAATGGACATTCAAAAAGCATATGATACGGTTGATTGGAATGCACTTGAAAATATTTTGAATGACGTGGGATGCCCACAACAGTTCACTAAATGGGTGATGACAATGGTTTCAATTGTTTCTTATAGATTTAACGTAAACGGGCATCAAACTGACATCATGGCAGCGAAATAGGGGCTTAGACAAGGCGATCCGATATCACCTATGCTGTTTGTCATTGTAATGGCATGCTTGAACAGATACTTATACAAGATGCAGGAAGATTGTGATTTCAATTATCACCCTAAAATGCGATAAATTGAAAATCACAAACCTTTGCTTTGCAGACGACTTGCTTATGTTTTCCAGAGGAGATAAGGTTTCGGTTGAAACGATGATGAAGACTTATGGGAAGTTTTCGAAGGCTACAGGTCTTGCAATGAATCTGCAGAAGTGTCGAATTTATTGTGCTGGCATGGATGAGTTGACAAAGCAGAATGTTATTAAAGCCTTGGGGTTCCAAGAAGTTCGAATGCCTTTTAAGTATCTGGGGGTTCCGGTTACAGGTAAAAAAATCTCTGTGCGCCATTATGCACCGTTAATAGACAAAATTGTGGGCAAGATAAAACATTGGACTGCTCGGTTATTGACCTACGCGGGGAGTCTTCAACTCATAAACTGTGTTATGTTTGCGATGACAAATTACTGGCTAACTTGTTTCCCTTTCCCCAAAACTGTTATACAGAAAATTGAATCGATTTGTCGCATTTTCCTCTGGAAAGGAGGTTTTGAGGGGAGCCGTAAAGCACCCGTAGCGTGGAAACAGGTATGTAGTCCACGAAGTCATGGCGGGATGAATGTCGTAGACATTGAAGTTTGGAATAAAACAACTTTTATGAAGCTGCTTTGGAACTTGAGTGGAAAAAAAGATTCACTCTGGGTTAAATGGATACAAAGGTATTACATCAAAACCAACGAACTGATGGAGATCCAGTGTAAAAAGAGTGATTCCTGGATAATGAAAGGTATACCCAATCTAAGGGAAGAGTTTCAAAACTTGGGAAATCTGGAAGAACTCAAGATGGGGGGGGGGGGGGATTAGAATGCGCAGACTGTATGTGAAACTACACGATTGTGGGCAGCCGGTAGAGTGGAAGAATTTGGTTTATGGGAATAACGCGAGACCGAGAGCCAATTTCATTTTGTGGCTTGCCTGCCATGGGAGATTAGCAACGAAAGACATATTGCTTAAGTACGGTATGATTGATAATAATGAGTGTTGCTTCTGTGCGAAGGAAGAAACATTAAACTATTTATTTTTTGAGTGTGAAAGTCTAAAGACCGTATGGAAAGAGATCCTAAGATGAGCACAAATTAACCATACCCCTGGAAATTGGCATAGCGAGGTGAAGTGACTTATTCAGCAAACCAAAGGGAAAGGAGTCCGAGCTGCAGTCATAAAAATGGCAATATCTGAGACCATCTATGAGATTTGGAAAGCTAGAAATAATTTTTTTTTTGGAGAGACGACTGAAATCACTACAATAGGAAGGAAAGTAATAGATACTCTGGTGTATAGAGGTTGGAATACTAAGAAACTCAAAAAGTATATAACTATCTTAATGATAGAGGGGGAATAGATAGTTAGTTAGTTTGTTCTTCCCTTTTTGTTCTAGAATGTCTTGCTTTGTAGCTGGATCCGCTTGAATCGCTTGTATTTATAGACAATTTTTAATTAATAAAGTATTTTATTAAAAAAAAAAAGGAAATTTATGCTAATAAATAACTAATTCTAAATTATCTTGAAATTGAATCAAAAGCGCAAGAGAATTTGTTTATTTTTATTCATAATTTTAGATAACTTTTTTATGAAGTGTACTAAATTTGTTTATTTTTATTCATAATTGTGTATCCAAAAGATATAATGTGAAATCCCCTATATTTCATACTTGTATAGTCTAAGCAATACACTCACTAATAAGCAAGCATACACAATACAAATACCCCATAAAAACACATAAAATTAGGAAGTAAATTTGTAACCACTCACAGAATACTGAAATAACACCACAGTAACAATAAAACAATAAGCAAAACTAAGCAACAGTTTAGTATATTCTAAAATAGATCATCATAATCTATGTTAAATCGAAATCAACAAAATAAAAGTACCAATTCAAAATAAAATTACAAAATTAAATAAAATTTACCACAAATCTTAATAGGTGCTTCAAGTTCCGATAAATTAAGCTGCCGCAAAAAAAAATCTAGATCTTAACACGATAGTCTACCAAATTATAGAACCATAATCAATATATATTAATCAAAATTTAAAATCTGAATATAATTTGATTTTAAAATTCAACACCACATGTTAATTTCATAAATTATAAACAGGAAACATGAAAAATAGAAATTGAGAACAATAGTTTTCTAAGAAAATACCCTAATTCCGCGGTTAATCATAAATTTATAATAATTAGAAGAGATAGTGAAAAATTCAAAAACCTAAAAAAATTTAAATAAACCTCAAAAAAATAATTTAGAAGAAAGAATAAACCTAATATTTGAAGACCTTCTTGAAACTTCAAATTTAGATTCAAAAAGCAAACTAATATTACCATGAAAACGAAATCAAACTCTAAACCTCAAACCTTAAACCCTAAATCTAAACCCTAAACCCCAAACCCTAAACCTCAAACCCTAAATCCTAAGTGTTGCATCTTTTCAAATCATTTATTTCGCGTTAATCTTTTATGTGCAGTCGATTTAATTTTTCAAACATTTTTTTTACCCGATTTCTGTTCATTTTCATCCTATTTATTTTTTATATTTTTATCAAAATGTCAAGAATAACTAATTAGATTTTTCCATGCTTGCATTTTGTTTTTATCATGTTTATTCAATAAAGTTTAAATTTCTATTAGTTTTAATTAATTTAATTCTATTAAATTAATTAAAATTTCTAGAAAGGGCAACATTGTCATTTTAATTTAGGTGTGCTTCTTTGATTAAATATGAATAGTTAGATTTAAATTTAATAAAGGGTGCGCATGTATTATCCTCACTTTTTTTATTAGCCAATCATATTTCAGCATTTTATTTTATTGATAAAAAAATAAAAAATTATATAAACATTTTTATAATGTCATTAAGACACTTTTCCATCCACAATTGATTTGTTTTAAAATTTTCATCACCTTGACCAATTACAAGTCAACACATGTCTTTTAGTGGGAATTTTTGGTTATGATTTAATAATAATAATAATAATAATAATAATAATAATAATAATAATAATAATAATAATAATAATAATAATAATAATAATTCTGATTTAATAATAATAATAATAATATTAATAATAATTCTGATTTAATAATAACAATAATATAATATTAATAATAATAGTTAATTAATTAAAAAAAGAAAAGAAAAAAGGAGCAGAGAGAGGAGATAAGAGGGGTGTGGATCAGAACGAAACAAAGGGAGGGTTTTTCCTCTTCTCCTTCACTCGCCCATTCTCCTTCATCACCATAGTCCCCCATTTTTGTCTTCTGCCGCGCCATTCTCACCCAAACCACCTCCGTTCTCCGCCGTCTTCCATAACCTCACGCTTCATCTTCTCCTCCACTCGTTTTTACCGGCCGCGCCTCATCATCTCAACCTCACAATACCTCCGCCGAAAACCACCCTTCTTCTCCACCATCAAACTCCTCATTGTGGCAAAGTTCTGCTCCAACCTTCATCAATTTCATTTCACACAACAACTGAACCGCTATTTTCCGACGAGTTCCCACGACAACAAATCGACGACAACAATGCATCGGTGTTATTAAGTCTGCTCATTTCAAGACTCTGGCAAAACGACTCGACACTGATCAAGGCGGTCGCGGCTTCGCATTGTTGCAATTTTAAAAGTGCTTTGCGGTTATGGCAACTATGAACTTTAAAAGTGCTTGTGCAAGAACTGCTCATGATGTTCTTTCTTCTTTCGGCTCAAAATGGTATTCTTCTCTAGCTAGGAACAATAATCCACACGTTGGCTTGTTTCTCTGTTCTTTCAAAATCAGGGCTTGTCACCCCATCAACAACAACATCAAGGACATCTACAAACAAGTGGGTCTGTTCCAAACTGCTATCTTTTTTTTTAAAGCAAATATTTCTGGTTTTGCTTTTTGTTTTCACTTGTTTCTATAACCCAGCTTTGTTATGTTCATTTTGGTTCAACCCAAATACTAATAGTAGGAGTGAAGAGTGTTTTTCTTTTGGATACCTATCTAACATACACCTCTGAAAATAAACGTCTCATATCGGTGACACTGCACCTGACATTTGTTATTACTTTAATATATTTACTTTTTCAAATTATTACTGATGCCGCCGCGTCGGGGTCATATCCGGTTCAAGTGGTCCGTGCTTCATTACAGCTTTATCTCACTTATTAATTCCTTCAATAATGACTATAATTGAAATATGATCAGGTTTATTTTCACTTGGAAGGAAAATTGAAGACACAGTTATTCGTGCTGAGTTGTATGCATCAACAGCTTTGGAAATGGAAGAAGCTAGTTGGATTAAGCAGGAAAAAATGATGCGTGATTCGGATCTGTGGGATGACCCAACTAAGTCCAATGACATTCTTGTCAACTTAGCTAACAGTGCCAAAGTCATTGATTCTCTAAAGGACTTGAGATACAAGGTTATTTTCTGTTCTCATATCTTTCAACTAAACTATCGCAATTTTATTTGAAAAGAATGTAATCATTTGTTGTATATCAAGTAGGTAGAGGAAGCACAGCTCATAAAGCAGTTGACTGAGATGAATGCTATTGATTATGGGCTGTATAAACAAGCATATGACGCTTCTGTAGACGTGGGCAACATTCTGGATCACTATGAGATATCCAAGCTTCTTAAGGGTCCATTTGATATGGCAGGAGCATGTTTGGTAATAAAAGCTGGACCTGCCGGCATCTTTCCAAAGGTTTCATACATACATAGTCTTTGAACTTAATTACAACTAGGTTTGATATGTAACTTGTGAATTGTGTTGGTGGTGTATTCATGTTATTAATTATTATACTCTATGAAAACTCAACCTTTGATAATGATGCATTCTACAATTGATTTTGAACATAGCAATTGTCATGAGCCACAACATCTTTTATATTTCTTTTTAGACTTTGTAAAACTTGATTGTTCTCAATCTATATATGTAATTTATTCTGTTGTGTTTGACCTACTTCTGTATGAATCAAGCTCTGGCCAGAACAACTCCTACAAATGTATCTTGGATGGGCCAAAAGACAAGGCCGTGAAGGAAGGATTGTTGACAGATGTCAGATCGAGAATGAAGGAATTGATTCAGCAACTATAGAGTTTGAATTTGAATATGCTTATGGCTATCTTTTAGGGGAAAAAGGAGTTCACCATTTGATAAAGGGTTCTCCAAATGAATCTTCTCATCTTGAGGTGCAAACAATTCCTTTCATACTACCTATTAGTAGAACTGATTTTCCTTTCTAGTTGAATAATGTTTTCTTTTCGTATTGAATTTGATTTTTTGGAAAACTGATATTGTGAAGAAAAATGTTTATCATTTTGTGTTAAATGTTTGAAAGCATTTTTATAAATTTTAGTATGGAAATATGGTGAAATAATTTTGCCTGCTTAATTCAAAATTTGCAGACTAGCTCAGCAACTGTCGATGTTATTCCGTTGTTCCTAGAGAATGCTTGTGATTTTGAGATTGATTCAGTGGATTTGATTATCTCATCTCCCTCAACTCATGGAAAACGGAAAAAACAAATTGAGTGTACCGTTTGCATTCAGCATGTACCTACTGGGATATGCGTCCAATCCTCTGGTATGAGTATTCTAGTTTATTGAGCATGTATCAGAATTTGCAAATGAAATAGAGGATTTTACTGAATTACATTTTCTGTGAAGGTGAGAGAAGCCAGTTTGCAAATAAGATGAAAGCACTAAACAGATTGAAAGCTAAGCTTGAAGTGATAGCAATTGAACAAGGAGTTGATAGTATAAATAGTATAGTGAAGGATAAAATTTTGAATCTGTGGAAAGAAGAAACTCGGAGGTATGTATCGCATCCGTACAAGTTAGTACATGATGTAAAGACTGGCATTGAGATGATAGACTTAAATACTGTTTTGGATGGGAATATCAGACCTTTTGTTGCAGCTCATATTAATACCAGAGAGTAATAATGTCATCATTTTTGAACTGATATTGATTTACATAAATTGTGTTTATCTATCTGCCAATTATTTAGGATGATATATATATAAAGTTTATAGAGTCTGACTTCATTGAGATAGTTACTTCTTTACAATATTATTTTCTAAAACAGATTTGTAATATTTTAAAGTTTTACTTATTATTTCTTTCGTAACCCTGACTCTTGTTTTCTCTATTTGCTTAGCACACTGTAATTGCTTCTTAGAAAACAAATTATAAGGGGGAGAGAGGATTTGTAAGTTTAACTTGTTAACTTAGAGTACAGAGGCACCGAAAACTGCTGTTTTATTTATTGATGCGTTAACATAACAAGAATTATAAACTGCTTAATAAGGCTGTAAGCCACTAACAATATATTCCTAAAATTCAGCACCCACTAATTACTCAATCAAATATCCCTAAAGACTAGGACAAACTCAAACAAATCAGTTACCAACATAAATAATATAATAAATTAATATTTCTAATATTCTCCCTTAAACTGAAAGTTTTCAAACATTCAGTTTATCACACACTCCCAACAATGCTCTGAGCTTCTGAAATGCAGCCAGCTTCAATGACTTGGTCATTATATCGGCAATTTGGTCTTCACTTCTGCAGTAGTGAAGTTCAATCACTCCATCCTTTGTGAGATTCCGGATAAAATGAAATTTCACGTCTATGTGTTTGCTTCTTCCATGTAAAACAGGATTATTGGACAGTTTGATAGCTGTAATACCCCAAATTTTACCCTCATATTTAGTCGGTCATTTCGCATATCATATCATCTGCGCATTTGCTAACCACTAACAAGACCTGAAGGTGTTTGTTTTGCAGGAAATACCCCAGGGGCGTTTTGGTCATTTTTGAAGCATAGTTCGTAATGTTGGGCGTAATGATGTTTTTTGAGGCGTTTATTTACGTGGGTTTGATATCAAAATCTGATCTGTGGAGCAGGGTTTAACAAGAAATCATTCTTCTTTCTTCCAGAGGGAAAACAGTGAAAACTTCGACTGATTAATGGAACTTATTCATGCAATGGTTGGATCGAATTAATTCCAGGATATTTGACTAGTGAGATTTAATCGGATGTTGAGGTGTTTGCAAATTAAAGCATGGAGAAGCAATTGGGAAATGATTTTAATAGAATATGTGAATTTTATTCATAATATTTTATTATCATTATTACAAGTTTGCAAAGTGAATTACAAAGAAGAAATGATTTGGATAAAAAATGTTATTTATTCATAATATTTTTTTTACAAGTTACAAGGGATTACATTAAAGTTCTAAAGAATTACATTAAAGTATCTATCCTAAATCCTAAGAACATCTAAGTGTCTTCATGCTGTCTTTAAGCTTCGCCGCAAATCTCGACTAACCTGCACATCAAAGCAAAACAAGCAATATAGAAAATGTTAGAGGTTTTTGACACTCTCAGAACAGTGTCATCATCGAGTGCCGGGAGTGGCACAACCGAAGCTGCGTCCTACCCCCGTTACCGACCCGCGCCATTGGCGTCAGATCAAGTGGCTACTGTTTCTTATCAATGCGGGACAACCGAGAAAGATGAAGAGGTAAAAGAAGTGGGGACCGATTTGATTCGCCGTAATTGGATTCGATTCAAAACCAAACTGAATACCATTTCATCAAGGGTCCACACCAAAAAAATTGGAAATGAAACTGAATTGGAATTCGAACTCAAAGTTCCATCATGTAAAATCAGCACATCAGTTCCTATAAAACCACACATCAGTTTTCGAAAATTCAATCCATCTTCAGATCACAAGGAAGCAAGCTCAGATCTTTACGGCAATCCGGTACGTGGACTCAGTTTGAAAAACATCATGGCCTAGTATCATCAATAAACTGGATAACCGAAAGCTGCATCAGAAAAAAAGCAGTGCATCAGCAATCCAATTCAGTTTCAAAAATAAACCAAACTCTGTTCACCAGTTCATCAGCAATCAAGAGAAATCGAAACTGAGTTCGAACCCTGCAGCTAGACAACCAAACAAAACCAGCCGAATCCATATCAGAAAAAACCAGTTCATAAATCTGAATGTCATAATAGTGCAACACCTTTTGAACCAAATGAGCAAGCTCATTGCAGAAGATCGAAAGGCACAGGCCTGGGCTCAGTTCGAACATCACTGCCCAGGCAAGTAAGTGTATCAGTCAGGTTATGAGTCCCCCGCCGGAAGTTTAACACAAGCATCAAAGATCAAACAACATCAACATTCCCCAAAGTTCATAACAGAACTCAAAGCCAAAAACGAGTCACGAGCTGCATAATCTTGAATGGACAATTCAATTCATAAAGTATAAAAACCGCCCAGTTCATCAATGAATCCCCAGACAAATCCAATCGACATCAAAAGGATCCAACACTATGGCCGTATCAGTCTACGCCAGATTCGAAACTCAGTGATATCAAATTAGGACCAAAACCAATAAACCCACAGCGACATCGAAAATTGGATAACCAAAGTTAGTTTATTGAAAATCTGCATCAAAAGAACCACATCAGTAAAAAAGATGCCCATAGTATCAAAACGGTCCCTATCAGAAGAATTGAGTTCGAGTAAATCAGAGAAGAATGATTCAGTTTATCACGAAGCAGTTCAAATGGAATCAGAATAAATAATCCAGTTAACCAAAACAAATCAGAATGAAAACATTTCGAAACAAATCCAGTTGTGTCAAACAGAATCTGTATGAATCCAATCAACATCTGGAAAGCAGACCAAGTCCATGACAGATCATAACCGTATCCACCCTGAAGGTGCAAGGCAAATTGTATCAGAAAAATAACAGAAAACAATTTTGATATTGATATCAATTCCAAATCAGGGAAGATTAAATCGTATCAAGTGAATCAAAACGAGCCAAAGCACCAAGTTCACAAATCACGAGCCCAGAATCATGACAAAAGAAATCCCAATCAAATCTTAAGAAGGGAAATAAGATTCAATCAGATAAGGTCAAAGTAAAAGCGAATCACAAATCAGATGAGATCAAATATATCAGAAACAAATGAAATCCAATCTCACCGAAATCCCAATCGAACCCTAAAAGAGGGAACATGGTTCAATCGTTATCTGAAAAAAACCAAACAAAATCATATCAAACTTTCAATCAAATCAAAAGTATGCTGGTTACGAAAATCAAATCAAATCGAATCACCACGAAATCCTGAGGCAATAATGCAAATCCAACATCAAAAGCCCAAAAAGGAGAGGGTCAGAAGAGTATAAGAGGGGAACGATCTCACCATCAGAAAGAGAGGAACGTAGCCGTGAGAGAGAGAGGATCATAGAAACTCTAACGAGCAAGCCCTAGGCGTCGTGAACGAAAGCCGCGGACTCAGACAAGTAACATCGTCATCATCGCACCATATACTATCCATCATCGGTCGCGAAAGACTCGAACGAGAGACCACCAACGCCGTTCAACCAGACGACGGGCAATCCCCCGTTTTCGTGCCTCAGCTCGCATCCATCATCGGCCAGTCTCACTTTAAAGGTGAGCCAGGGAGGTTTTTCATCACTATTTGCATGTGTTTTTTTCCAGGAAAAACGAGAGAGAACGGAGAAGAAGAGGCTTGGCATCGCGGATGAGAATGAGAGAAACGAGAAGAAGAAGAAGTGAAACGGCGCCTCAAGGGCATTAGGGTTCTGAGAACCCTAATTGCTTTCCAAGTTTAATCCAACCGGGTTGGGTCCGGGGTGATGACCGGCCCAACCCCTTATGTTTTGTTTTTTTATTTTTTTTTTATTTTTTATTTATTTTGTTTTTAAAATTATGTTTTTTATTTGTTTTAAAGTGTTTTAAAAAAAAAACTTTTTTTGTGAAGATATTATACATAAATAAAAATCTTTTATAATATAATAAAAAACCTTTTCTTAAAATAAAAATTAAAACTTTCTTTTTAAAATTTTTGTAAATATAAAAATGAAAAAACTCTTTTTTAAATAAAATAAGGAAAACTTTTTAAAAAATACAAAAATAAAACTTTTTTTTAAAAAAAGAGTAAATTATTTTTAAATTAAATTTCTTTTGCAAGCTAACATTTAATTATTAAGATTTTTTTAAATAAAACAATAATAAAATCTCAAATTTGCATCTTAACTCATTTGATCACCGCCTAACTCTGCCCACTAACGCCATTTGTTCATTTTGCAGCTCATTACATCTACCGTTACTTATCTCATTTTATTTCATTACTATATTGTAACTGCTTCTCATATGCAACCTCACAAACCTTAATTTTCACAAATGTCTCGCCGCAGGCAAAAATTACCATTTTACCCCTAGTTTTAGGTCAAAGAGTCGCCGTACTCTGTTTTAGGGTTTCCCGCCGCGGAATCCCTAACCTAACCTAACCCTAATTACACTTAACAATTTTCAACGTAGAAATTTGGAGTTCCTACACTCCACGTAAGCGTGTCCTTAAGATGCGTTTATTCCCCTTGAGACCTTGACCACAGTCAAGAAGTCTCTAACCTCCCTTTTGAGGGGAACTACGATTACTCTGATTCCACTCCCGTAAGGATACGTAGGCACAAGATGCGATGTCTTGCCGAGTAAACTTAGAATTAACCCCTTAGGTCTCCTTTCTCACTTTTAATCCTTTGTACATATACCTTAAGCAAATGAATAAAGCAAATAGTAAACATTTGAACAAAAGGTTCCCGTAGAGTACTACGGAAGTTTAGGGTGCTAATACCTTCCCTAAATTTAACCAACCCCCGAACCCTAGATCTCTCCCCGCATTGTGTTTACGATGCAAAATAGGTTTTCCCTCTTTTGACCTTTTCCTTCGGATAAATCAAAGAGCGGTTGTGAATTGAATTGCGATTCAAACTAATTAATAGTTTGTGATCCTATTTCCACCGCAACAGAAAATGGCGACTTCACTGGGGATGCCTTTAACTTTTGAGGGTTATCCCTAACTTGTTCATATTTATTACTATCTGTGTTATTA